TCAACCATCAAAAAAAATGAAATCTTGCCATTTGTAATGATGTGGATGGAACTGGAGGGTATTATGCTAAGCAAAATAAGTTAATTAGAGAAAGACAATTATCATATGATCTCACTCATATGTGGAATTTAAGAAACAAAACAGAGGATCATAGGGGAAGAAAGACAAATTAAAACAAGACGAAAGAGAGGGAGACAAACCATAAGAGACTCTTAATCACAGGAAACAAGCTGAGGGTTGCTGGAGGAGAGGGGGCAAGGGGATGGGGTAACTGGGTGATGGGCATTAAGGAAGGCACATGAGTAATGACCACTGTGTATTATATGAGACTGATGAATCACTGGCCTCTACCTCTGAAACTAATAATATATTATATGTTAATTAATTGAATTTAAATAAAAAAATAAAGAGCACCCTTGCACATAAATAAATAAATAAATAAATAAATAAATAAATAAATAAATACAGCGACAGAAAATAGATCAGTTATTACCTGGTGATGGGACAGTTAGGGGAGGGAAGGATTATAAGGGTATCAGGGAACTTTTGAGATTGATGTATATGTTCATTCTCATGGGTATATACATGTGTCAAAACTCATTGAATTGTGTTTGTTTAGAAAAATTTTCTCCTAAAGCTAATAAGAAGGTGTGGTGCCTGGCACATTTGGGACTCCTATTCTGGAAAATTCTACTCCTTACCTGGCATTCTTAGAGAGGTGTTCCACCAAGGCTTACAAATTATCTTTTTTTAAAAAAATATATTTTTATTTATTTATTTAAGAGAGAGAGAGAGATCATGAGCAGGGAAGAGGGACAGAGGAAAAGGGAGAAGCAGACTCTGTGCTGAGCAGGGAGCCTGACATGGGACTCGATCCCAGGACCTGGGATGGTGATCTGAGCCGAAGGCAGACGCTTCACTGACTAAGCCACCCACGTGCCCCCAAATTATCTTTTGTAGGCAAAATGGAATGGAGTAAATATGCATTTTGAGCTGCATTCTGCTGTAGGCCTGCCAACTTTGGAACCTAGAGTCAATCTCTGTCCCCAGCAGATGAGGAAAATGAAAGGCAAATGCGACTGGTCCAAAGTCACTTATCAGGTCATGGCCAACCCAGTGGTTTGTCCTCCCGGATTCCAACTGTGGATCTGTGCTCAGGTCACCAGGACACCTGGCTTCCTAAGCCCTTCATAAATTTCCTTTTTTTTTTTTTTTTTGGTGTGTGTTTTCCCTCTGAGGGCTGGATTGAGACCAATTTCTCTGTAGTTCAGAGTTTTTAAAGACACTCTTGGAAACCAGTCTGTTTTCAGTGCAATGGTATTCCTCCTTCCATTGTATCCTCAGGTCAAAGCTCTTTCGTCCTCCTGAGCCACTTTGATCTTTGGTGCCTTAATCCCAAATCTATACCCGGCCAGCCTCACCCTTCTGGAGCCCTCATGAGCACAGACTCTGTACGGGTAATCTGTTGATCAGTCTGACATACATGTGCTTAGCTGGAGTAATAAATGCCTTCATTATCCTGGACCACCCAGCGAATATTTTATCTTCAATATGAATGCCTGGCTCCACAAAGGCCCGTTGTTCTGCACCCTTAGGCTGTGGCGAAGCCTGACCATAATCTCCCTGTTCATAAAGGACCCACAGGGCTCAGGTTAAAACTTGTGAGCACTTGTAAAATCCTTTGGGAAATCAGTGTAGTTTATAGCAGTGTCTTATGCCACTCCTCTCTCAAGCTCCTCTGGCTGGTTCACGGGGATTTCCAAGTGACCCCACGCCCCACACATGGAGTGGCCACCAGCACCTGCCTCTGCCCACATGCCACGGCTGACTCAGGAGCTCAGGCTCCCACCCTACCCCCTTTCAGCCTCGGCCATTCCTCTTGAAAGGAGTTTGTGCTCTGCACACATCACAGAGATATAGGAGGGCAAAGGAAATTAAAGCCACTGGCCTAATGAAACTCACACACTATTGACCCCTTCCATCCTGCCTCGATATATCCTGGCGGAGAACGAGAGGAGAGGCCTGCAGGTGTGGACAAAGCCCCACCCTGGCTGTTTATCTTCCTGACAATAAAAACACCTCTTTAATGCTGCTAAAATGTTGCTGAAAATTCTGTTTTTGGTGGTGAAACAGATAACTTTTGTCGAATGGTCCACTGGCACCTTGTTTCTCAGTGTGGTGCCTGGACAAGTGGCCTCGGCATCAGCTGGGAGCATATTGAAAATGCAGAGTCTCGGGTCCCTCCCAGTGTTACTGAATCAGAATCTGTATTTTCATGAGATCCCCAGGGGATCAGAACCTGAGAGGATCTTCTCAAAAAAACCACTGTTGTATGTTCCAGAAAGAGAAAGCTAATTGGCCACCTTGATACAACAAATGGGAAAGAGGTGGTTGTTTCCCGGGCCTTTTTGGCAGTTTCTCTCATTCTAGAATTCCCTAAAGTGTTGATTCCCTCGTGGCCCCGGTAGGAATTATTCTGGAAGAAAGGAAAGAACACCATCCAGGCTGGGACATAGAGCAGACATGGAAGTTATGCATGGGTCCAACAGCAAGAGCTCCGACTCGCCAAGGATGATCGACTGCTCTAGAGCTCTGTGTTGTTCTTTTGCTAGATCCTTTTGTATCAGGCTATGTTACTGGAGATTTTTCTTGCTTTTGGAGGTGAGCCTGTATTGCTGTAACCTGTCCTCCTAGATTCGCTTTTGCTGTATCCCGAATTTTGGGACCCTTGTTGTGTCATTTTTATTTGTTTCCATGTAATTTTTGATTTCTTCTTTGAATTCTTGGTTGACCCATTCGTTGTTCAGTAGCATGTTATTTAATGTCCATGTATACATGGTCTTTCCAGGTTTTTTCTTATGGTTGATTTCTAGTTCCATAGCATTATGGTCAAAAAAGATGATTTCCATCTTTTTTAATTTGTTGAGACTTGTTTTGTGGCCTAATATGTGATCTCTTCTGGAGAATGTTCCATGTGCACTTGAAAGGAATGAGTATTTTGCTGTTTTAGGGTGGAATGTTCTGCATATATCTGTTAAAACCAGTGCATCACTCAAAGCCATCATTTCTTTGTTGATTTTCAGCTTGGATCACGTCTCCATTAACAGAAGTGGGGTGTTAGAGTCCCCTACTGTATTTTATTACTGTCAGTTAGTCCCTTTATGGTTGTTATTAGCTGTTTTATGTATTTGGGTCCTCCTATGTTGGGTGTCTAAATATTTAGAATTGTTCTATCTTCGTGTTGCATTGTCTCCATTATTCTGATGTAGCGTCCTTCTTTGTGTCTTATTACACTCTTTTTTGTAGTCTGTTTTGTCTGACAGAAGTATTCCTAACCCTGCTTTGTTTTGGCATCCATATGCATGATAGATGCTTCTTATCTGCTCACTTTCAATCTGCAGGTGTCCCTAGGTCGAGGGGATCAAGCCCAGTTCCCAATTTCGGACAAGTCAGTGTAACTGTGTAAACTGAGACCGAGTGTGTAAACTGGTGAATGTTTGAGACCATGGATATCAGAACAATGGGGACCTAAAAAAGTCCCCTTGGCTAGTAAGGAGAGTGTGGGGTTTCTCTGGGCAAGGATATGGACCTTTATCCTGGCAAGAGAGAACCAATCCCTGATCCATCAGGTCCCAAAAGGAACAGTGGCTCCCATGGATCTGAGCAAGAGGCTGGGGTCTGTAGGGAATTGCATTCAAAAGAAATGCAAAAGGAAATGCAGGCATGCTGGAAATGCAAGCTCCTAGGCCAGCATACATGTTAATGATTTTAGGCTCAATAATGGCCTTAAAGGTATACCTCCCATCTTTCCCCCACACACAAAACTAGCAGGAAAAGGAATCCAGAGATGGTTGACAAGGATCCCAGGAGGATTTCAATCTTGGCAAGGGTGAACCCGGAGCGCCTAGAAGGAGACTGAGGATGGAAACACCTGCCTGCTCTTTGGCAACTTGCAAATTTTCTTCCTCTGGCTTTGAGCCATCCATATGCAGGATTTGATCTCCTTACATGTATTCCCCACTTAGTGCTGATGCACTTCCAGAGATTGAACTAGGAAACTACAAGTTCCAAATACTGGGTCAAAACAAATACAAAACAAAAACAAAAACAAAAACAAAACACCACTTCAACAGAAGAAGCAGGTAATGATCTTCCTTGCTTTAGAGTGCACAAAGGAAGGTAGCTCCTGTTCTGGGACAGGAAGTCGTTCTGGGGAGTGTAACTCTGAAAGACTCCCAATTTCAGTGGTTGTTGCTATTCCTGTGAAAGGACCTGCAACCTCTAAATCTCAGGAGTTCAGACGGGCTGTCTCTGCTCTTTGCCCAAATTTCTTCTACTGAAATGAACGTGTCCTCTGAGTAAGGCGATTTTGCAGGTTCCCTCCGGTAGCTAGGGAGGAGGGCTGGCTCTTCTCCTTCCTCCCACATACAAGAGCTGATGACTCTGTAAGATTCCTTAGCTCAGGAATGACTGTGAGAGTCTGTACATCTTTTCCATCACTGTAGGAAGTTAAAGAACCAAACCACACTCCTGGGCTCTAGAGGAACAAAAGGGCTTTACTCGAATAATATTCCAGCATCACTTAACTATTTACAACAATTCAATATTGTATCTCCCAATAAGTAAAGAGATGGGAGGAAGCGGTGTTGGGCAGATGGGGCACATGCACCACAAGTACCCCAACTGCTGAGGAATCTGGCACTGCCACTGGATACGCACTCAGCCCTGAGGTTGACCGTGGCCAGTTCTTCTCCTTCTTGAGTGCTGCTGGCCAGCTAGGACCGGGGCTCCAGCTGGCAGGACAGGATGTAGCTAAGGACAGAGAGACCCCTGTGAGTTGACCAGGAGCTGCCATTCAGGAGTCCCTCCCAGTGTTTTCCCTCAGCTGGAGTCTGGCACCCCAGCAACAAGGCCTGAGGCTGCTCAGGGATGAAGGAACCCTGGAGTGACCAGCAGAAAGAGTCCAGCCCAACCCTCACTCAGCGCCTCATGGGCCTCACCTCTCATCATCGCTGAGCTGCTCCACAGACTGGAACCAGGCCTGAAATGCATCCTTGGGCTCTATGTTGTAATTCTCTGCAGCCTTTTGGAGCAGCGTGATCTCCATCAGAACTTTGTTTTCCTGGGCCGAGAAAAGCACAGGTTGCTTCCAGGGCCTGGGGCGGGAAGCTACAGGGCCTGGTGAGGGTTGAGTAGCAGGACAGAGACCTGTCCTGGGTCTTGGCACACGTGGCCACCCTCCTGCCTGCAAATTCATCCAGTCCCAACCTATTCTCAGAGGTGAATCTAAATAGCCCCTCCTGCAGGAGGTTCTCCTTGATGCCATTCTTCTGTCCCCACTTTCTAAACGGTTAGGTCTTCCACCTCTTTATTATCAACCAGTCCCTGTCCATGTGAGATGGAGGGGATGGAGCCAAGGAATGTTCTTCCCAGGGACATCTCTGATATCCAGTCCCCTACCCTTCCCTACAGGAAGTGCCACATGTGCTCACCTTATTCCTTTTCTGGTGGTTGATCTCATTCCCCTGGAAAGCAGACAACCAAAGTCTATCAGAAAGAGCCCGCAGGTTGTTACTAGCACTTTATTCCCACCACTTGTCAATCTGCACTTTTGCCAGGACATGTGAGGGGGCCGTGCATACACGGATAACGGGCCTGGCTTCTCGGCCAGACTCTGAGGGCCGGAGAAAGGAGGATATGGGGCAAATGGTCCACCTACAGGGATGGACCCAGTCACACAACCCTCTCTGATGACAGAAGGGGAGGCCGAAGCCTCAGGCAGGAAGGGGCTGCTAGGCAACTGAAGTGCTTGCTGATGTGGAGGGTCCTGACTTCACTCTCCCCCCACAGGAAACGTCAGAGGGAGAGGCTGAGGTCCACTCAGACAGACCTCATGCAGCTTTGCCTTCAGGAAGCTCTGCTGCTTCACCAGTCTTGGGCACCTGGACCAGTGTCCTAAGTGCAGCCTCCCCTTACTCATCACTAAGTTGGGCAGGAGACGCCAGCTCACAGGGTTAGCTGGGAAGCTGTCATGAGGGGAGGTTTGCCAAGTACTGAGACCTCAGGGCTCAGGACAGGGGCTCTCTGCTCCCAAACCGCAGAATTCTGGGCCCTCCTCCACAATCCTCAGGCTCACCCACCTCCAGATAGTCCTCCATTGCAGTATCCAGCATCACCAGGTCAGTGAGGAAAGTGCCAAGGTAGGGGACGACACCCTGTGTCATGAGGGGTAGGGTTGGGATGAGTCCCTACTCTCTGGTGCCTACAGGGACCCTCCCCTGAAAATGCTCCAGCCTCCTGCCCCCCACCCCAACGTGCCCACATGAAGCGGCCCAGGACCTTTTGCCACCTGACCGCAATGCCCTTTCCCCTCACAGTCCCAGAACATCGGACTCCTCCTACTCACCTCCAGGTCCTGCATTTTGAAAATCACAGGGTACATAGCCCCGGGACCCTCCCCACCCACAAAGCCCATTCTGTATCCAGCTTTCTAGCCCCTCCCCCTGGTCCAATTGAAAGAAGAATTTGAGAAGCCTTGACAACAGGAGGCGGGGCTGGAGTCCGATGGCCCCACCTGTCCTGATTTGGAGGCTTCCAGCCCTCAGGGAGGAGCCCCTCTCCTCTGACACTGGAGGCCCTGTACCTCAGGCACACCCACCTTCTTCTGTACCCTCTTACGGGCTCCCCGGAGGTCCATCAGCAGCCTGGCAAATTTATTAGATGGCCGCTCCTGCAAGGCCAAGGACAAGTTCCTTGAGACCAGAATACCCTCAGTCCACTTGACCCACCATCTTGGACTTCAGACCCTACACATGTGACCTAACTCAGCTGATAGCTGATGCTACATTATCCTGAAGCATGCCATGAGTGCTTTTAGAACAATCTCAGCTCCAACACACCGTCCATGTGTGACCTTGAGCTTGCAGCCTGGCCTCCCTGAGCCTGTTTTCTCATCGGGAAAAGTGAGAACTCCACCCAACTCCCACGGTCTCCTGAGGACTCAGGGTCCTCTTACTATCTATCATCACTGCTCTGGCCCTCAACCCATCCCAGCCACATCCCTGAGCAGAGGCCTGTCCTCTGGGCTCTCAAGGTTTGTACGGGCCCCCGTCGGGGCCAGTGTCGACACAGAGAGACAGGGGGGAGTCTGGTTGGGCAGCACCTGCTTGTCCCAGCCCCAGTGGAATCTTCCCCCCAGGCTGTCACCACGTTCATGCCATAGGCTACCCTTCCTCAAGGAACGCTTCAGGCCATTCCCTGCTTCAGCCACGCAGGACCCTGTTCCCTCACAGCCCTCTTCTCTGTCCTGACCTGCCCCTTCCACGCTACCTTGATGAGCAGTTTCCTGCCCTGGGGGTTGTCTTCGGCACACAGCTTTTTAAATTTTTGAAAGCACTTCCTGAATCGAGGAAAAGAGGCAGGATCAATGGAGGAATACCATGGCAAGGTTGAGTGTGAGTCCCTTTTCTGTGAGAACCCCAAGTGTCAAACTGCCTGGATGAGGGGTTTCTCGGGGATCCTCTGGGCACTCAGGTCTTTGTAGGACATGGGAGGGAGCTCTCATGTGGGTCATCCTGGGTCTCCCTTCCCATATGAGTGGAGCAGCTCTGTTTTGGTCAATTTGGGTTTCCAACCGGCAGAGAGTTGAGGGGCTGTCAAGTAAACCTGGGAAAATATTTCCTTCAACGCAGCCCAGTGTGCGACATTGAGGAAAACTGATTTATATAGCAGGAGGCTTGGTGCCTCTTCCCAGGGGGAGCTGAGAGACCTGCCCAGCAGTCCAGGTCCTGTGGCCAGGGTTTGCTGCCACCCAGGAGGTCCAAGCTGACTGAGGGAGAACAGGACAGGCCTATGGGAGCTCCCTCCTCCATCCTGGTCCCTCCATGGGGAGAGGCCTCCTCACCTGGAAACCTCCTGCCATGTCTTCTTCAGGCGGTGAATTGAGACAGTCTGCAGGGCCGAGAGGATGGCATGCAGGGAGGAGTAGTTGTGCAGGATTTGACAGGCCTGGTGAGGGACAAGGAGCTGTCAGGTGGGGAGTAGGAGCCCTACATGCTCTAGAGCTTCCGTCTCCCTCAGTGGACATCTCCCCTCCTGGATAAAGCACATGTCCAGGGGCATGCAGAAGGGCACGTGGAAGGCCCAGAGGGGAAGACTGCTGGGAAGAGGGAGGACTTGACCTCACCCCAAGGACGGAGCCAGGGAGGAACTGAGCATCCCACCAATGGGTCGGGCAAGTCAAAGTCAGCAGGCGCCTGGAAGGAAGAGCCTAGGCACTGCACAGGCCCTAGGGCTAACACCAGGAACTTCCACCCTGAGAAGTGCTAAAGGGAAGAGCAGTTCCCGAGGCTCAGGAGAGCAACTCAGCCAGGCCTCCCATAGCATACCTTGGCCACCTTGATCCAGTGCTCCACCACCATGGCCCTGTCCCGGGCTGTCATGCTTGGGTTGCCAAGGCAGGTGGTGATGACACAGTTGGCCACACTGTTGAACTGGGCGACAGTGGCCCGGACTGTGGGTGCCAGGTGCTCATTGCCAGGCTTATTCCGCTTGGTCCAGACAGAGCCCAGGCAGTGATGGAGCCACACCTTCTTGAACAGCTCCTAGAGAACAGGGGGACGTTGGCTCACCCAGCCATTTCTCATGCAAGACTCATGTCCTTGATAGGGGTCACAGATCAGAGCTGGAGTTCAGGAAGCTGAGAACATGGCCTGAGCCTCGTGGGAGACCCTGGATTTAATTCCATTCTTTTTCACTGAGGGAAACCAGGACAGGATGACCCAGGAGCAAATAGTGGCAAGGGAAGAAAGGAGGGCATTTGCACCCGGACCTTCCTCAGGAACTCCCAGCTCCAGGTTGTAGTTCAAAGTGGCTCCTCCGAAGGGGGCATCTACCCTTCCAACTATTCATCCCTCGGGTCCTTCTCCTCTTTCAGATGCACATTCTGCCATGATAGCTGCAACCACAGGTTTGTTGGTCTGCCCTGTCCTTAAGTACATATCAGATGCCTAATTAATGCTGAGGGTGCTCAGCCTCCAAGGCAGATGGGTGGGCAACCCATGGCCTTGGCTGCACACAGGGAGCTGCCCTCCTCCAGCCAAGGGACCAGGGCCTGCCCATTTGTCTATCTGTTCTGGCTCATTTCATCTGCATAGTAACTCTGTCCCCATTCTTCTCAGTGTCTAACTCTACAGTCCGCAGCTAGGCAGGGAAAGCTTGGGTTGAGGACCTTGATGGGTTGACAGGGTTGGGAAGTGGTGGAGCTAAGATTGGGTCCCAGACCATAGGAGCCCCATCAGGGAAAGGCAGGTGTGGGGCAGCTGAGAGCAGAAGAAAAGCCTGCCCCTGCCCTGCCCTTAGAGCCCAGCTGCTCACCGCATCCATGTATGTCAGTTGCTCTGCCACCAGCTTGGGAGGGAAGTCCAGGAGGTTGGGCTTCTCTTCATTCAGCTGGTTCTTTGGGGTGACATATCGGTGGCAGGAAGCCTCTGGGACCTGAGTGGGCTCACTTTCTGTTTTGTCAGCTGGAGTGAAAACTCCCAGAAAAGCTGATGGTCCAGCTGACTGCGGCTCAGGGTCCGGAACACATACGGAAGCTGCAAGCACTTGTTCCAGTTCTGGAACGGCTGATGGAGGTGAGGCTGGCTCTGCCCCTTGAGGTGATGGTTGAAACAGAGCCAGGGTTGCCTCTCGCTCCACAGGAGGCCCTTTTTCTGGCTCTGCAGCTGGAAGGAGCCCTAGAGCTGGCCCTGGGGCAGGAGAAAGAGAAAGGTTCCTCCACATCCCTGACTTTCCATGTGCCTTTCCAAAAACAAAAACAGGACAGATCCCATGGCCTTTCAAGGAATCCCCAGCCCAAGAAACCCAGCCCAGATAGCGTTCCCAGCTTGCAATCCCCCTTACCCTCCGCCTCTGCCTCAATGGGCCCCAGAAGCTCCCGATGCAGCAGGAGAAGGGGGGCACAGTTCTTCAGGTCCCAGGCAGGCCACTTCAGATGCTCATAGGTCCCCTTGACCTCCAAATGGGCACAGTGCGGGGACTGCCAGATATCCTGCAATTTCTGGTCAGGCCAGGTACCCAAGATGGGAGACAGGGTGCTGGGGAGAGTCATATGTGGAACAGAGTCAGAGGCCTGGCCTTACATTCCAGCTGCTACTCCCACAGCACCATTCTCGCTGCCTGGGTCCCAGAGGAGGGCCCCAGCCCACTTCCAATCCCTCTGGAGCTGTCCTTACAGTAGAAGGCCTGGTCGTCCTGAAAACCTGAATGAGTCTGGTTTGTCCACTTATCCTCTCCTCTTCATGGCCATGGGCCTCGTCTACTCTATGCTGCATGGAGGCCAGTATCAGGACTCAGGTTTGAGGCAGATGTGGGAGTGGTCTGCTCACCACACCTTCTGTTCTTGGCCCCAGTTGTGGTGGTCAGCAGAGAGGAGCAGGCAGAGCAAGATGGGATCATGGAAGGGATGGGTGTTTTGGGCACCAAATCAGCCCACACTGTGCTCTGCCTCCCAGAGGGCTTGGGACCTCATCCACAGCCCTCTTTGACTCATTTGCTTCTTCCCAGGAAGCCCCCCAAATTCAGCCCTCCCATGGTATTCAAAAGATCTGTGAGATCTGAGGTTCTAAAAGTCCCTCCCCAGCCACAACCCCTGTAGTCTCCCACCATGCTCTGTCGAGGCAGCATGACTTCCTTCTGGATTCAAAGACCTATCATGTTTTTCCTTGAGCAAATAGTCTGTCATCCTCCTCCAAATATAGGTAGATCCATTCATACCTAGAGTAGGCCATGAAGATGTCCCATCTAACCAACTCTGGACATGCATGCTTATGATGTGTAGAGTGACGATCTGAGCCTCTGACTAGACTGGAGATCCAGACATTGAATCTCCTTTATCCCTTCCATTATCTTAGTGACTAGAACGTGCCTGCATTCCTAGCTGCTTAATATCCATTATCGAATGAATAAATCCCCACCAGGACTTTCCAAATACTGAGCGGCCCTTGGGCTGTTCTCCCCCTAATCTGGTCACATAAAGGAGAAGTACCAGGACCAGCCAGATGGAATCTTGAGGTCCTTTGCAAATAGGAAAACTGTCTACTTTCCATTGCCTTTTGTAAACCCACAGGCCATAGGCCTGTGAGGGTTGAGCTTGAGAGCTTCTTCCCTGGAGAGAGAGAGAACTATGAACCATGAAGATGCCCATCATGTCCAGCAGGTCTTTCCATGGAGCCAGGAACCAGATAAATCCAGGCCATGTTTCCTCCCGTGATTTCCTACAGTGACCCTATGAGGTTCACCCTCTTACCACCCCACTTTTCCGAAGAGGAAAGGGAAGGTCAGAGAGGTGCTGTGACATTCCCTAGACATACAGCTAGTAGATGGGAGGCTCACCCCTGTGCTGAGCATGGCGTGGGCACTAACCTATTGAACTGCTGGGCCAGGACCCATTGGGCTGAGGTGAACACCTGGTCAATGCAGAAAATGGTGGTGATATTTGAGATGCTTCTATCCGGGAAGGATGGTACCAGGGAGTGTAGGAAGTTCTCCACTGTGCCTTCTTTGAGCATCAGCATCGTGCAGGCCTCATCCAGGGACAGGGTTGATTCCTTTTCCCACAAGGTAGACAAGGGAGGGGGGGGCAATGTAGTCAGCTTCAACACCATGAACCAATCCACAGGATGATCAGGGTCTGGCACTCAGACCATAGACTCCCATCCCTTTGTGAACTTGTGCAAGAGAAGGGCCTTGAGTGTCCACCCAGAGAAAGGTTCTAGGCTTAAAAGTACAATTGGATTTAGGGGTGAAATGATAAACCATTGGTCACTTCAACATGTTCTGTTAGCTGAGCCACAATAGCATTTCTCTCTCCTAATAGCCTTTATTAAGACTTGTAGGCCTTTGAGTCATCCATAAACATCCCTACTGCAGAAGGAGAAACCAGAGGGGGAGAATCTCAAACGCTGCTCAGGATCATATAGGTTGGGCCTGAGGACTGTCCAAAGCATGAGCTGTCTGACATTTCCCCTATGCTGATGAGGCTTGGTCTGTTCCTGACATGGGGAGAAAGGTTCAGGGGAAAACCACCTTTCTCGGCAGGCCCCAGGGGAGCCCGTGATCTCTAGTCTGTGTTCCGGCCTTGCCCTGAGTCCTGAGATTGAACATGAATTGGGACCTTTTCTCAGGCCAGACCAGCCCTGGATGTTGTTGGTGGCCTGAGACACCTGCTGCTTGTCAAGGGACAGGGAGTAGCTGAACATGTAGAGCAGCTCATCCAAGAGGTCCCGGGTAGAACTCTGCAAAGACAGAGCCAGTTACCTGGGCCAGGAGGCATCAGAGGCCTTTCCCCAACCTCTGTGTGGTTCTATGTTCTGGCAGATGTAGCCACTAAAACAGTCTTTTAGGACATTTAAGGTGTTCCTTGCAGCACTGCTGAAATGGCAACAGAATTGAATCATGTCACGTTCCACCAGCCTTGAAAGACTGAATCACTGTGGTAGATGACCTCCTTTATGGAGGACTATGGAGACATATAAGGACACAGTGTGTGACCTGGTGGACCTACAATGATGTGATGTGTTTGTTCTGAGAGATGATAAGTTACAGAGAAAGATACAGAATGGCTTCATTCCACCGTCCCTATTATGTTCAATCACCCTATTAAGTGTGAGGATTTAGAAGGCCTCGGACAAGTTCTTCAAGAACAGGGACTTTAGGTTCTACACAGGGTAGCTGGGGTGAGTAGGAAAAGTAATCAAAACAGTAGTAAAATGCAAAGATCCTCATGGCTTCGTGAGAAGTAAAGCAAAACCAAAGGAAACCAAATAACCGCCCTCCAAACCACAAAAGTCTTTAACTATATTCAGTACCATTCCCACATCTGAGAAGAGTGTCTTTCTCCCTTCTCCCATAAATGGTGGTGGAGGTGTGGCTGTTCGGGTTACTCTGGGGTTGGGCCTGTGGGACACTCATGTGGAAACACTATGGGAGGGCTCCAGGTTTGTCCCCATATTTGTGTGGGGGCCCTGAGTGTGGACAACCCTCTTCCCATTCTCACCTCACAGCAGCACTGATCCTGGGTGGCCTGGTGCACCTGACACATGTCTAGGGAGTTGGAGTAGTTGAAGCCCCAGACCAGCTCATCCAAGATCTCCTGGGTGCAGCTCTGAAAGGGCAGTGCCCCGTATATACAGGGCAAGAGACATTAGTGTCCTCCTGGGACATGGCCAAAAGGGGACACCCCCATTAGAAATCATGGAACACTACATCACAAATTAACGATGTAATGTATGGTGATTAACATAACATAATAAAATTTTAAAAATAAATAAATAATTAAAACTTCAAAAAAAAAAAGAAAAGAAAGAAAGTAATCGTGTACTCCAGTTCAGGCTAAGTGGGGCGGGTGAAAAGACCTTGAGCAAGGAGGCAGCCAGATGACACTCTAAGGCTCCTGATTAACATACAGGTAGGTGAGCCTGGTTCTCAGCACTCACCTTCTCATCCTGCCCGCTATGATCTGCTGTATGAACATGAAAGACGTGCCAGGCTTCCAGCCCCTGGCAGATTGCTTCTGCCAGGGAAGGGCATATCCTTCATCTGCTGTCCCATCCTCTACACACACACACACACACACACACACACACACACACACACAATGAGGGGCAAGAGGTGTGGGCCTGCTGAGGTGGGATTACAGTTGTTGTCTGATCTCCAGGGGGCTGCCCTGAGCTGCCTTGTGTTACCTGTTCGTGTCTCCTGCCACATGACCAGAAGCTTCGGAAAAGAGGGCTGAGCCAACGTCTACAATGACATAAAAGTCTCTCACTCTGGGCTTTCTTGGGCCCAGAGCCCCTGAAAGTGGGGACACAACAACAGAACATCTTGTTCTCTTGAATGTCTCCTCTCAAGTGAGCTGGAGAGTAGGTTGTCTTTTGAATGTTCTCAGAGTTCTAAGTTCAGCTGGGGCCCATCACAAAGGAAATGAGGTCACTCTGCCAAGATTCTAGTCCCTGGGCCACTTCGTTCAGGCAGGACTCTCCAGAGCCCCTTCTGGGCACTTGACTGTTTACCTTTCTCTCCCATATCCTCCCCTTAACTGTACACAAAGTGCCAAAAATGCCATGGCCACAAATCTCTGGAAATGTAAGTAGGGCCCTAACTTTCCAGAGACAGAGCTGACGTCAGACCTTTCTTTCTCTGATTCTTTTCCCAGTACTGTGTCCTCAGTCATTGTGTCTCTCACAAATTCCCTACTTTGCCAACCTGCAGAGTAGGGATCAGGCTAGAATCGACTTCCATGGGACATCATCAGGTGTATGTGGATAATATTGATTCCATGTGTGGCATGGTATCCTGTGTATCTGAGGCACAAATTTGAGGATGGAAGAATTATAAGAAAGGGTGGGACTTGGCATGGAGGACCGCTCCAAAGAGGCCGGGGTCCCAGCCGTGTAAAATTGGAACAGTCACGTGCCCCTTGTCCTCATTTTCATGTGACACCATGATGGGGTGGAAATCCTCGACAATGTAGACCTTGTCATCCTCTGTAGTAAAGCCATTTGTTTCCTGTTACATTAAAAATGAGACCCCGTTGCCTCATTTTGGTCTGTGAGGGGAACAGCCTTCACCAGGGTTCCCAGGGATGCTGATCTCTGTTATAGGCATCGCTCTGTAACCTCTAGGTGGTTAGGGACTGGCTTCTGACCCATGGCATACAGTCAACATAATGAAATATCATGTCTAGAGTTTCTTTAGATGTCATGCAGAGAGTTTCTCCCTCCCTAGTTACTTTTCTCCCGGTGCGCTTCTCACTCTTTCCCTTTCCCTTTTGCTTCTCTGTCTCTGAACCAAAAAGCAAGCACAGATGTTTTGAGCTGCCATCTATAGAGGCTCACAGGGCAGAGAACTGAGGCAGTGCCAAGGCCAAAAGAGACACAGGAACTCAGATTCTGAGTCCAAATGGCCTCCCGAATCATGGAGCTGACATGGGAGAAAATCCTCTGCCAGTCTAGCCTCAGTCACAGCCACACGCTCTGACACACCTTGAGCCTGGGGAACCAAGCTAATTTGTGCCTGGATACCTCATCCACAAATCTGAGAGAAATTAAGTATATGCACTGTAAGACGCAGGTATTGGGGCAATGCCATCACAGAGGAACAACTGATAACTAACAATGTCCCTGGCTTCAGCATCTCTCCCTGCCCTCCTCCCTCCCTCCCTTCTGTTCTCCTCCTAGTTTCCCTCCAGCCACACTGCCTGCCTTCTTCACCTCCTCTGGCCAAAGCAGCTTCAGTTACTGAGTGTCTGCAGCAGTGGTACCTTCTTCCTGACACACTGCACCCTGACTTGTGCACGTCTAGCTCCCTCTTATCATTCTGTTCTCAGCAAGTACCTCTCCGTGAGGCCTTTCATGCCTTCCTATCCAATGACTTCCCAGCCTTCGTTCATAGCACACTTCGTTTGTAGTATAGTGTACTTGATCTTTTCTTTCACATGCCTTTGCTTTTGTGCTTCGGTCCATCTCTAGTCTCTGAGCTCCTAGAGGCAGAGAGGAGCCCTAGGAATTTTCACCTCCACGCATGGGCCCACCAAGGTACCTGGCATGGGGGAATGCTTAGTGTCTAGTTACTAAGTGATTATTTGAGAAGCTCTAGGAGCCCACCTACCCCTTTAACCACCTAGACTGCACGGAGAATGCTACTAAAAGTTTCAAGCTATTTCTGGGTAGGGGGACAACCACAATGGCCTGTGCCTGACTCTCCCTGCTCCAGTTCCTCCGGCAGAACTCACTAGGTACCATGGACAAGGAAGCGCCTTGTATTGTGTTCTCCAGATCTCATGGGACAGCCCCAGGCAGGCACACCAACAAAGAAAGGGATGCCTTTTCTCGGGGGTCCTCAAGGCACTGGCTTTCTAGCATCACAGGGGCAAAGGAGCAGGCTCTCCAGGCTCCATGGCAGAGTAAAGGACTTCAGATGCCTCCCTTTCTTCCTTTTCTGTCCACTCCCGCAGTGTCCTCTTTCTTATTCCAGCCCCCTCACATCAGCCAGCAGAGCGGTTCTGCTTCCATTCCCGTATGTGCAAACGAGGACTCTAAAGATCTAATGGACTCTTGCTCCTGGACCCCAGACACAGTGTCTAGTTCTCTGGCATTTTCCCAGAGAGCATAAATAGATGAGAAACCATAGAAAACAAGGTTCTCAACATGACTAAGCCACAGAAAAATACAACCAAGTTTATAATGAGATATCACATCACATCAATTGGAATAGCTATTCAAAAAAAGGCAAGCGATAACAAATGCTGGTGAGGATATGCAGAAAAGGGACCCCTTGGGCACCATTGGCGGGAATGCACATTGGGACTGGCACTAGGCAAAACAGGATGGAGGTTCCTCAAAAAAGGAAAAATAGAACTACCATAGGATCCAGCAGTTCCACTTCTGGAGACATACTCATACAAAACAAAGGAATATGTCCAAGAAATCCCTGCACCCACCTCCATGTCAAGAAGCCTTATTTTCAATAGTCAAGACACAGAAAACATCAGTGCCCATTAGTGGTGAATGGATAAAGAAGTGTTTTGCATATAATGGCATATTAATCAGCCATAAGGAAAGGAAATCCTACTAAATGGGATAACAGTCCTGGACTTTTAAAGCATTATGCCACATGAAGTAAGTGAAACAGACAAAGGCTAATACTATATATATGTAGGTAAGATGTAAATAGAGAGATAGATAGGTGATAGATACTACATATATAAATAGATATATATACATAAATAGATATAAATTTTTCTTTTCCCATTGGAATCGAATACAAAAAAAAGAAAAGGGAAAAATTAACTCAGAAAAAGAGATCGGACTGAAGTAAGGAGAAGAAACAGAGTGCAGAGGGTGGGGTCGGGATTGAGTGAATGGTGAAAAGTTACAAACTTCCGGGTTTAAGATAAATAAGTCATAGGGATTTACAGTACAAGCAGATGACTACAGTTACTACTGCTCTATGGCGTATTTGAGAGCTGTTCAGAGAGCCAATCTGAGGGTTCTCATAACAAAGAAAAACCTTTTCTTTCTTTTTGATTTACTTTATTTTTGTATCTCTAAGAGATGATGGTGGTGAACTAAACTTACTCTGGTAATCGGTTCAAGATATATGAAACTAACATCATTATGCCCTGTTCCTTAAACATACACAGTGCTCTATGTCAATTATATCAATAAAACTGGGGCAACAAATATTTTCATATTCAAAATGAGCATCAGGAAAGTTGCCGTGGTAAAAAGAATGACAGGTAAACAAACCTGAAAACAACAGAAGCTAAAGTCAGTAGATTATGATATGGATAAAAAAGATCCAAGCCATTTGCCTAAAAAGTGGATTCTGAGTTTAAAAATCAGTGAATTCAAATTAAAGTGGATGAAATGGAATTTTAAATTTGTGTTATATTTAAAAAATTGATCAAGGAATAAAATGTCTTAATAGATTAACTCTGAAAATTACCTTTCCAAAAAACTTTTCCTGTTTTGCAGAATTCGGATTTTAAGCTTTGACGTGGGCACAGAATGAGAACATGTTGTTTGATCAAAGTTGTCTCAAGGAAAATGGCTGAAATAAGATGACTGAGATTGGACCTAAATGGAAGAGTATAAATGGCAAGACAAAATTGTCCTGTGTTCATTTCTCCATATTTGCAGTTTTTAAATACAATTTATTTCAATGTCATGAAGGACATTAAAATTCCTGGAGTACATTCTAATTTTATTAAATCATTAATATCTTTGTACACCATCCCTCAACCCATCTTCACATCTCATTGTATCTTATAAGCTAAAACTCTGTACCATTAATCAGAACTTCCCATTACCTCCTCCTTCCAGCCCTTGGAAAACATCTTAAAATTTTATTTTACTAGCCTGAGAGGAGGCAGTTTCCAGGTCTTTCCCTTGGCCATCTCTACAATCATAGCCCTTACCCCACATTTGAAGGATGGAATATGAGAATTCTGCCAGCTATCAAGTATGTACTCACCGATGATACTTTCAAGGACTTGAACATGACCACCATGGGAGTCATTGGGCCCTCTGGACCCATTGTGAGCTGGATCTGATCCTCCATATGTTGCCAGGCCCCTATGTGCACCCTCTCTAACAAGGGTCCATGAGGATATTTTGGGTTCTCAGGTATCATTGCCAGTTCAGTCGCTGTGTTTAACAGTCCTTGAAAAGCTTGGGTATTCCCTTTTCTCCAGTTTACTATGACCTGAGTTTAAGAGACTATAGATCCTCGGGGTAGAGGAGCAAGATGACGGAGGAGTAGGAGACCTGGATTTTGTCTGGTCCCTGGAATTCAGCTGGATAGGGATCAAACCATTCTGAACACCTACGAACTCAACAGGAGATCAAAGAAAAGAATAGCAACAACTCTGAACAGAAAACCAACCACTTTCTGGAAGGTAGGACATATGGGGAAGTGAATCCGAGGCGATATTCGGGAGGATAGACGGCAGGGGAGAGGGCCCTCCGTCAGCCGCTTCTGGCAAGTGATAGAGCAGCAGAGCACAAAATTGGAACTTTTAGAAGTCTGCTCCCCTGAGGGACGTCATTCTAGTGGCTAAGCAAGGGGTGGAACCCTCGCTGGGACAGTGTGGCCTGAGGACCCTCGGGGTCACAGAAAGACCGGGGGTGCCTGAGTGCAGCAGAGCTCCCAGGTATTGGAACAGGGAAGCTGGCTGCAGAGACGGAGCCAAGGAGTGGGCTCTCAGCTCGGGGTTGCCATAAACCATGATCCATGGCACAGTCGGGCCATTGCTCTTCCAGCAGGGACCCAACAAGTGGCAGATCCAGGGAGACTCCCCTGCCTCCCCTGGGAGGAGTGGCATAGGAGTGCACAGCAGGAATCTGCTGGGTTTGGAGACTCCACACTGAGTCAGGTGCCAGATACAGAAATGCTAGGTCACAGGGCGGGTGAGCACTGAGTGCGGCTGGAGACTGGGGAGATGGGAGTGATTGACAGCTTTTCTCTGGGGGTGCACTGAGGAGTGGGGCCCCAAGTTCTCGGCTCCTTTGGGGCAGAGATTGGGAGGCCGCCATTTTCACTCCCGTCCTCCAAAGCGGAACGGAAAGCTTGCAGGGAACAAGAGCTCCTGAGAGCAAACCCGAGAAGATTACTTAGCCCGGACAGGCAAAGGCGGGGCAATTCCGCCTCCGGCAAAGACATTTGGGAACCACGGCAACAGGCCCCTCCCCCAGAAGATCAGCAAGAACAGCCAGCCAAGACCAAGTTTACCAATCAATGAGAATGGCAGAACTCCAGCACTAGGGGAATACTGCACGTAGAATTCACGGCTTTTTCCCCATGAATCTTTAGTCTTTCAAAGTTAATTTTTTTAACTGTCTTTTTTTTTTTTGAATTTTTCTTTTTCCCTTTTTCAACCAACATCTTATCAATCCCTTTTTTTAAAAAAAAATCTCTTTTATTTTTCATTTTTAGAGTCATATTCTATCCCTTCATAGTAGTTACCCTTATTTTTGGTGTCTACCTATCTATCTATCTATATATAAGTTGTTCTCTCTTTAAAATTTTGGGATACAGTTTCTTTTAACAGATCAAAATATACCCTAAATCTCGAGTGTATGGCTTTGTTCTAGTCTCCTGCCTGTTCACATTCTCTCCCTTCTTTTTTCTTTCTTTTTTAAAATCCTCTTCTTTCTTTTTTCAACCAAATTCTTATCTTATCAATTTTATAACTTTCATCTTTACAGTCATATTCCATCCCTTCATCATATCAACCTTTATTTTTGTACATATATAAGTTCTTCTTTCTTTAAAATTTTGCACTTTCTTCCAACAGACCAAAATATGCCCAAAATCTAGTGTGTGGCACTGATCTATGCACCAGCCTGATCATATTTGATCTATTTGTTTTCTTTGTTTTGTTTTGTTTTTGTTTGTTTGTTTTTATCTTTTTCTTTTTTCTTTCTTTCCCTTTCTTTTCCCCCCGTTAGGTCTTCTCTGATTTGTTTAGTGGATATTTTCTGGGGACGTTGTTACCCTGTTAGCATTTTGTTCTCTCATTCATCTATTCTCCTCTGGACATATTGATAAGACTGAAAAAGTCACCTCAACAAAAAAAAACAAGAGGCAGTATCGACTGCCAGGGACCTAATCAATATGAACATTAGTAAGATGTTGGAACTAGAGTTCAGAATGATGATTATAAAGATACTAGTTGGGCTTGAAAAAAACATGGAAGTTATTAGAGAAACCCTTTCTG